GAGAAACATTTCTTCCCTGGCATTACTTTAAACTGCGCCTCCACTTTCGGGGGAAGACATTTTTCCAACGAAATTTTCACCGGATGGAAAACCTCGGAAAAGAGACGAGACCAAGATAGCGGACATACAAAAGGGAGATTGCTACGTTACAGCCGGATTTTTAAATAACAATGTCGTTCTTTTCTCAGCAGTTTCATACAATGGCAACCGTACTCCAAAGGACGTGCTCCGCTCGAGAGATCCTGGCTGCACCCCAGGAGATTTTCAGATTCCCTCTTGCCCGCGAATATGGTCGACTTGATTGTTTAAACTTACTCGTACTTATCATTGGCTCGGAATTCTCTCGAGCATAACCTAGAAGACGGATTTTTGAAAACTGTTACTCGACAGAGAATTCCGCCAGAAAGGAGAGCCGACTTTCGCAGGAGTTCGCAGTCGGTGGGTCTCGGTCCCGGTAGGTCTTCTACGGGACTTCGACCACCTGACCCCAGAAAGGGGCCGCATCGCCACCCGGGGAGCCGGAGGGCTCCAGAAATAACCTCGCTCGCGAGGAGATTGACTCTTCAACGCAGCGGAGGATAAGAAGCCACCTCCTCGAGAGGAGGCGCGCGCTGGCATAACCCGGACAAACGACTTGTGTGCCGAGCGGCTTTAATTGGTGTAATAAACCTTTAAATAGAATCCTCGTAGGGAGAGCGAATGGCGTGTTAAGGAGTCGTTGGCGCCATCTTTGTTCGGCGCTTAAGTCGCCCCTGGGACCGCTGGCCCGCCATTATGGTACCACCTCGGCACCGAGTCCTCCGACTCTTCGGCGCCGGCCTTGAGTCCTGGACAACGGGAAAGGTCAGGGATGCCCGCCGATCCGTTCTCACTTTTTACCCCACTTTTCCGCTAAACTCCTTCGGACCTCTATCGTTATATCGAGCCCTCCATTTTCAAGCGACTGCTAATACCCGTTCTTAACCCTTTCGACGCGGCCTTTCCCCGGTACGCTTCCGTTAAAAGGATATTCTAGTAGCGAACGGCACTTCGGCACGGATAGTTACGACTAAAGCTCGCATCCTCAAAAAGTCCAAAAAAAAAAAAAACAAGTGGAGTCAAAAAATTCGACCGAAGTTGTGAACCGATGCAAAAACTTGTAGACGGGTAATTATGGATACGGTGAACGCGTCGGAAGGATTAACTCGTCATAGTCTAAATTATTTTCCCCTGTACATTGATTACACGTGAAATTAACTCGTTGCAGTCTAATTAATGTCCCCTCATCCTTTGGCGCCACGGGAAATGGCGAGGATTCTGAGCCCATATTTTCTGTCATCCGGATCCTTTCGACATTTTTGTAAGTGGCAGTTAAGACTCTTGTCGTGCACGCTTGGGTTTAAAATAGACGCTTCTTTAAATAGAACCCTTTAATGGCGCTCCCCGGGAGAAAGAGGGAGAGAGAGAAAGCTAATGGCGTGTTAAGGACTCGTTGGCGCCGTCTTCCTCCGAAGCTTAGGTCCTCTCCAGGAGGAAGAGTGGAGGCGCCATTACGGTGGAACCGAATGGATCCTCGGAGGTCCTCCGGCTCTTCGGCGCCGACCTTGACTCGTGGAGAACGGCCAAGGTCAAGGATCACCGGCGAACCTTGCTCCTCGATTCCTGGTTGTCGGCCCTATTCCCAAAGGACGAATTTTCCCTTCTAAAGTAAAATGGTGAATTTTTCAGGAAAACCCTGAAAATTGATTTATCAAAGATTGCAGATTTTCTTATGATATGGTGCGTCGGTTTAGGGTGATCGGCAAGGATCGGACGATGGTTCCGATCCTTGCGAGACAAGAGCTGGTGACGTAAATCGAAGGACTCGCGAACCGTTGGAAACGGCAAAGCCGGTCTCCTCGACTTCCCTCGTACCGGTTTCGCGTAAACTCGGGGACACGCGAATTTCAAGGTGGGTTAATTGGCCGATCGTGGGATTAACCGGCCGGGCAATGAGTTCGGGCGATTATTCGTGACATAATTCACGGACACCAAGGAAACGAGTTCATCAACTCGGGGGTGTTCCAGATTCGGAACTGGTTCCGACTTCTAGGTCGCCGCGGACATTTCGCGGTACTAGACGGAAGTGGTTCCACTCGGCGAACCAAGGAGTAACTTCCATCTGGAAATGAAACCAGGACTAAAGAGAATAAAATAAAAGCCAGAGGACTTCCCCTAAATCCTCGGCTATAGAGGGTTTCTTTAAAGTCCTGGGACTTGAGATTTTTTTTTCAATCCAAAATAGTGCTCAATGGTATCTCGAGAAGGAGAGGTCCATCTTGGAAAGGGAGCCGTGGAGTGCTGGAATCGTCCTGCGGAGGATAAGGATATCCCTGGCCGAATCCTGGCGGTCATATTAACGATCCTGCCAGGAGCCCCGAAAGGATTAGGGTCGAGTCCGGGAATTTATTTCCGCAGGACCAGGACGTTATCCTCGGGGCAAGGCTTATGTACAAGCGACCAGGTCCTCGAAACATCCTGCCACCGATAACCATTCGATAGGAACCCCCGAACCGATCGCGGACGAAGGGAGGTCCTGTAAAGCGAGGCCATTGGGAAGGACCTCGGGAAATAATGTGCAGGGCCCTGTGGAAGTCGATTCCGAGGGGACTTTATTTCCGCAGGATCGGGCGACGTTATCCTGGAAAGGATCCCTTATATATGCGGGTATAAAGATCCCGAATCCTGGACGCATCCTGCAACCGATAACTGGTCAATAGCGAGCGGAGGCCGCTGGACCACGGTCGAGGACCTTTAAAAAAAAGGAATAACAATAAAGGATAGTGCCCGTCTCTGTAGAAGGATCGTCGATTACCGTCGAAGGACCATCGGGAGGATCTCTCGATTTGTTTATCTTCCATTATTTTCCCTGCCTCCCGACAAGGGGGCCGATCCTTCACGAAAGCGCGAGGATAAATATGCAAAAAGGACGAGTCGGGGGCAATAAATAAGTGTGGCATCCTTGCGTGCAGGACCGGCTCCTCCAGGCGGTGGGCCCCTCCCCGAAAAATAAGATACCGGCCGACTCTTCGGATGAGAAAGAGTTGGGCCGAGAGATGGGAGCAATAAAGGGTCGAGAAGGACCCTCGCGGGGCAACGAAAGGATCGACTGGGCAAAGGCGCCGTAATCCCTTGATTTAGTTGAGCTTAGTCTTGGGAAGACAAGGCTTTGGTCCTGGAAGGACCTTAACGCGGGAATCTTAACGAGACGAGACAATGTTACCTTCGGGGAGGAATTCAATCCGGCGAAAAGTGCCGCCGAAATCCTTAATAAATTTTTTGCGATATTTCACGAGGGCTTAAAATTTATAAGAACTCCGGGAATGATCTACAAGGATAACGCAGGTCCTCCTCTGCTTTGGGATCCATTAGCAAACCTTTGTTCGGGCAATTTGCTAGTGGAGCTCCTTTTTTCTCGATTCTCTGGCCAAACCGGAGAAGATCGAGCGTTTCGATCTTCCCAGGGAAGAAGGGCCCCACTATCTGGACGCAGCATCCGCAGGAGATTGCGTCCTGACGCCTCTATTTATAGGAGTTCGACGCGGTTAAATTTAGAAGTTGCTCGTTCGGCCAGGATCGAAAAACCGGTTCGACCTGGGGAAGATCCACGCCGAGAGCCGATCATCGCTCTGGAACGACTTCGGATGACGAAGATCGATTTCCGAAACTGGTTCCATCCTTCGAGACGAAGAAACGGGAAAGAAGAAGAAAAAGGCGAGGAGAGGCGAAACGATCCGAACTGGCTGCTGGTCCGTGTTTGGTCCTTCGGCCACTTCAGCTCGGATGCTGCCCTCCAACTTGACACCCTGAAGAGACCAATCTTCCTTCGTCCTTACATCAAAGTAAACAAATCCGAGATTTAATCAAATCCACGATGTGTACAAAAAGACATTTACCTAAAAGTTCTTCACTTTTCGTCCCAAAGTACCGAGTTCCACTTCGAGGGCGGAGGCAAAGGAGTGATAAACGGGTTAAGGCGGTCGCACCGTGTGATAGGTCCAAAAAATTGAAAAAACTTTATTTAATATATTGCCTCTATAATACGTAGAATAAAAGATTTTTCAACATTCGAAGTCGGTGGGTAGTTACAGACCTAGAACGGAACAGGTGGTGGAGCACCTGAGTGACCGTATAAATGTTAATAAATATATTGTAAAAATTCCAAGATGGGGTATTTTCATGGTTTGTTAGAAAAAATTTATTTAAAAAAAAAAAAAACAAGCGAAGGAATACAGCCGTCACACGGTACTACTGCCTTAAACAAATCCAGAGGTGGGATTAAGAAGTAAGGCTTAAGGAAGGCATCCGGTCGGCTCGGAACGAACGTCCCTCGGGAATGCCTCGGCAAGGATAAACAAATTTTTCATCGGAAACAAAGCGTCCTTATTTGTCCCTGTTAAAGCTGGCGGGGAGCGGCGGCTCGAGGAAACCAAAAGGACTAAAGAGGAACGAAGCGGCCGCTCACGTAGGGAGGTACGCCGAGGTGTACGCAGAGAGTACGGAAGGGTACATTGTTGCGTACGTGGCCGCATGCGGAGGACGTGAAAATAGTTTAGGCGCCAGAGCAGCCAAGCAATAAATTCCAGGAGGCAGACAGCCGCCTCTCGACCGCCGCGGACTTCACTTTCGTGCGATACCCTTTTTAAGAGCGCAACATAACCTCGGAACGTATCCGAGGATAATCCCTGGTGCTTTCCTCCACCCTCGTCTCCTAGGGAAACTCGAAATTCCTGGATTTATATTCGTAGGGAAATCCTTAATATAATCAAGACCTTGGTTCCTATTCCGTATGATGAGAAGAAGAGATGCAGAAATAACGTCCTTCAAATGTTCCATGATTAGAGGTAATAAGAATTGTCTAAATTGTACAAATTGTAAGAATGATAAAAATTGTAAAAATAGAGGTTAAATGTGGAGATGGTTGTAAATAATTTGATTTCCTTCAAGTGGCGAATAGAAGAGAAGAGAGAGCAGGGACTAACCTGGACCCGTTGACGATGACGATCCTGTTTTCGTTGCCTCCTCTCGAGTTCCTCCTTTCGCTCGATCAAGGACCGAATTTCTCCAGGAGGTGCGGCAAGTCCTGTGCAATTGTCGGCTGCTTTTTCTCCCGATGACCTTCTTCTAGGACCTAATGGCATTTCGTCCTCGTCCTCGCTGTAGCTCTCGACCAGAAGCTCGGAGTCGCTCTGTGAAAGACCATTCCGGTGGAAATTAAACGCCTTTTCTTATGGAGTATTTTCATTAATACGAATAATTTTCACTTTACATTTTCTATTTTGAATTCCAACAAAGTTTTAGTGCAACTGACGGGATGCAACAAATTTATGTTACATTTGAAGGGAGATCCTTCGAAGGCAATTACTCTTGCATATTGGCAATACCGTGGAAATTCGGGAAAAGGCATTGGAGTTATCATTCTATTTCATGATTAATATTTAAAACGTTGTAAAATTCTGAAATTCACCTGTTCCGGAGGAGAACTCGGCGAGCTGATGCTGGAAGCCTCGACAACGGACACGTACTCGCTAACACCGTTCTCACACTTTTGCAGCTTCAGGACCGGAGTCTCCAGTCCGCATAGGAAAACTTGCCCGAAGAAAAGGATCTTCTGTATCCTCAAACAAACCTGCGCCACCTCCTGTGCACCCAGACAAAAGTAGATGTCAAAGAAAGCACTCCATTTACCTCATATGATGAAGCAACGAATGCCCTGGCATCTCGAAAATAAAAAAAAAGGTCTCAAAGCGCAAATAAATTCAAAGTGTCTAACCATGTCCTCGTCCTTGTTCGTGAAAACCGGATCCTGGGGATTCGACATGAGAGGCGTGAACCCCGAAAGGGTGGTGTCCTCCTGCAGCTTCACAGGCTCCAGATCTGCAATTAGAAAAGGATAAAAATGAGAGCAAGTTCCTTAGACGAAGTACGGAATCAGGACCTTCGGATCAAAATGAAGCTAGAGGATCTCACTCGAGTGAGTCAAGTAATTCCTAGAGGAGGGAAAAATACCGATCACACCTCCGCTGCACGGTAGAAGTGCCTCGAAAGCGCGGCACCGTGTTATCATGCAAATTTCGCCCTGGGAGGAGTCGATAAGCATTCACGGGGAACTACCGAGGTGTGGCCTGGGCGTTCCAGATGCTCAACCCATTGTGGGGGCGAATCGAGTGGTAACGGTGTGTTAACAATGTGCTAACAGTATCATTGCGGCGCCATCTTGGTCCCCGCATTACAGTTCCTCCGTGATACCATTCCTATTTCCGAGCAACGTGACATTACGTCGCATTCAGCTCCCGCTTCGATGATACCCTCTGCAATAACAGTGATATGCGTCCACCGAGATTGCGTATCCTCTCTTCAAGGTGTGAAAAGAGGGAAGAAGACCGCGGCTAGATGTTCTCCACGGGTCGAAAGTCGTGGCCAGGAGAGACGAGAGGAAGAAACTCGAAGAGGAACCTGAAGAGGGTTCAGAAAGATGCCTACAGATTTTCTGTGGTAGAAATGGTTCACGACCCGTGATCCGTGGGTACATCACGAGGTCTGGCATTTAATTTACTCGGAACCAGGCTGGATGCTCGTCCAATCTCGGCGGCGTTTCGTAAGGCGGAGGAAAAAGCGCTCCTGGCTCTCTTCGGGCTCCTCGAAGGACCCGAAGACCCGTTCACATGCCCGAAGACCGACTTACGGTCCTCGGGTATGTATGGTGGTCTTCGGGTCCTCCTGGTTTTCCTTTTATCCAATTTATCCGCGGTGCCTCGGGTGCGAGGCCGAGGAGCGCCGGAGAAGCCAAGCCGGCGAACAAATTGACATTACGGTACACGAGCAAGGACGGTACCGTTAACTGTCTCTGTTCCTTGTTCCTTTCCCGAAAACATCCCGAGGCCTTCGCGAAGGCAGACGTCGTTCCATCGCCAGAAGTGTACTCGGGGATCATGGAAACCAGATCCCCATCCTGGGACCAGAGAAACGAAGGTCCATCGTCTCTTCCAAAAATGCCGAATTTCTCCTTCGAGTCTAGGGATATCAAGGACCCAGGAAGTATGGTCATTCTTTCAGGGTGGAAATAAAAATGAGAATGATATTTATGCCGTGGGAAAATGAAGAGAGGGTGCCGAAGAGCCCACTTCCGATTTTCGTTGAACGGCCGCGCGTTCTTCGAGTTCGATTTTCCGCTTCGGATGAGCACCGGCCTCGATCTGGATCCCCATCCGGGGGTTTCGACCCGATGACAGAAGCAGGACACGGGAAGGGTCGTCGACTCCTGGAGTGTCAATTATCGGGTTCTCGTCGACGCGACGTCCCCGGGATCTCATCGGGGAGCCATCGGTCGGCGCCGATATCTCGATGGGTTCGCCAGAGTCTCTCTTTCTCTCTCTCCCCGGCGAGGTTCGAGGGTTTCCGTCCTCCTAGGGTACTCGGAGCCGTCACTGAGGAGACCCGGAGGACTTCCCGGTGGAGCAGGTCGTTTCTCCTCGAAAATCCTAACGCGCGTTCAATTATCGACATCCGGATCTGCCTCGATCAACGACGAAGAAAATCGCCGGACGGGACGCTTCGGTGGAACTTCCTGCTTCCATCCATCCATCCTTGGGACCTCTTATCAATGTACCATCATCTTGACAAGTTCGCCGTTTAAATGGTTCTTAAAGGATCTAGGGACGATTGGATCCAGTCGATTCAGAAATCATATCCTAACAGAGGTTAAGCGGTGCAACCTTGTTTCTAGTCCTGGGACCGAAAGTCGCCATTAAGTTCCTGCATTTCCAGTGTTTCTTGACAAATCCTCGCCTAAATCTCTTCGAAAATCATTCAGCAGGGACCAGCTGATCCAGAAACCATCTGGTAGCAAAAGTCGAGCGGCATAATTTCCTTCCAATGCTCCTTGACAAATTATCGCCTACATTTCAAAAAATTCAATAACACATCCAGACGACCCAAAAATCACGTATCAACCCCAGTCGAGCAGTGCAATTTCGCCCCTAGTCCTGGGACCAACTCATCGATAACTATGTCTCCTTCTAATGCTCCTTGACAAATTGTCGCCTACATTCCTAAAAATCCAATAACAAATCCAGACGACCCAGAAATCACGTATCAACCCCAGTCGAGCGGTGCAATTTCGCCCCTAGTCCTGGGACCAACTCATCGATAACTATCTTTCCTTCCAATGCTCCTTGACAAATTGTCGCCTACATTCCTAAAAATCCAATAACAAATCCAGACGACCCAAAAATCACGTATCAACCCCAGTCGAGCGGTGCAATTTCGTCTCTACTCCTGGGACCAACTCATCGATAACTATGTCTCCTTCCAATGCTCCTTGACAAATTATCGCCTACATTCAAAAAAATCCTACAATCGGTAAATCCAGTCGATCCAAAAATCACGTATCAACCTCAATCAAGCGGTGCAATTTCGTCCCTAGTCCTGGGACCAACTCATCGATAACTATTTTTCCTTCCAATGCTCCTTGACAAATCATCAGCAAAAAATCCAGCGACTGCCGAATCCAGTCGATCCAGAAACCACGTGCCAGGAAAAGTCGAGCAGTGGTGAACGGCTGTCGGGGCCAAGAGTCGAGATACGCGTCCTCGTGGTGGACACTCAGGATGCAGTGGTCACATTGGTCACGGTGGACACTCAGGACACCGTGGACACATATCGGCCGGATGCACCGTTAACCGGCCAACCGGGTTGGAGAACGTGGGCTCGCACGGGTCAAGAGGAGAACGCGGTCCCGCGGGAACAGGAGTCCGGCTCCCGATCGGCTCGCTAAATAGCTAAAAAATCATTCGGCATCCGAGCTTGATCTGCGACTAACGGGCCGGCGCCAACGGTCCCAGCTGCGTTTCCGCATGCGAAAGCTTACCCGACTGTTTCCGCCGAGAACCGCGATTTCTCCGGCAGATTTGTCAAGGAGCACCGACAGGATTAGCGCAAGAACTCGCTGATTGGAACGTCACGAGATATTTTCTATCATCGATATCCCACGATGCTTATCGCTGATAAAGATGTTAATCGCCGCGATTCTCGCATTGCCTCGTTTTTAGATAAACCTTGTCAGATAATCCCTAATGAGGACGTTTGATCCTCCGTCAAAGGACGAAGGATTTTTAGGGGGACGCTAGTTGAAAAACTAGACAACTCACCCTCCTGCGGCTCCTCGTTCTCCTTCGGGAAGATGAGGACGTTCTTGGGACAAGACAGCTTCTCCAGGAGGTTCACCAGCGCGGCCAACCTGCTCCAGGCGTCCCCAGGAGGTCTGGAGGAAGAAAAGGTAAATATCATTAAATAAAAAATGCGCAGCGATTTAAGAAGGAAAGTACTTCCAAATGCTCGCTTGGGATTATTTAAAAGAATCCAGGAACATGGGATTTATATTAATAAGTAATTAATAGTTGGATATCTGTCCCGGTTAATCTACCAAGACGGGCTTACACGTAGGACAGTTGCGCGGGAAAAATTGATATCGTTGCAATTACTATCGGCGACGGGTAATAATTAATGATTCCTCGCGCAATTACATGTAAGGCTCCAGTAACGAGGTAACTCCGTCCTGACCGAGCAGGTCGTAGTTCCTCGGAATCCCGCGAGGACTTAACGAGACAAGGACCTCCTCTCGAGGATGTCGAGCACGATACAGAGAACCGGGACCGGCGCGGAGCGAAATCGCCTTAGCGGAATCAGGACTCCGGGATACGTTCCGGGAATCGTCGGCAGGGGTCAGTTAGTCGAGTCCTGGGGTCCAGGATGTCGAGCCGGGAATTCCGAGCGAAGGGACCCGTCGAAGGGACGTCCGTTCCCCGAACCGAGTCCTGCTCTCGAAGGGAAGATCCTGACGAGGAGCCAAGGATCTCCCGGATTCCCCCGAGAACCTGTTCCCCTACACGCTCGGCAGACGATGTCCTGGAGGGAAGTCCTGGCCCTGGTCTCCGGCGGCGTCGCAGGACTCCTTCGTCCTGGGGTCAGAGGTTAATTGCGGAAAGCCGGGCGTCCGGTCCGGTAATTGCAACCACTCGCGATGACCATTGCAAAGTGCACCAATCGCCTCCTGGTCGAAGGACCTGGACGTCAAAACCTTTTTGCGGGAATTTTTTCCTCCTACCGGGATCCTCCCAAGGAGGGAGGCTCCTCATGGATATTTTGGACAGGTGTCGAGTGACGCACCCGATAAATCGGCTAAAAAGTTCGATCGAATTAGGTGAGAGGGAAATTGACAACGGGTAGCTTCCTAAAAAGAAAGGACACGCGGACGCGCCATTATCCTGCGGGTCCTGCGTCGGTCGCCCTAGCTCGCGTCAGCTTAATTAATGTAAATAATGTCGAGTCGCGTCCCGATGTCGGGTTAAATCAGTCGAGGGCAATTATCCTATTTACTTAGAGAGCGCATCTCGGGCAAGGATCGAAAGGACTCGGCCGAGAAGTGGCTTGGCGGATGGCCGCGTCCTTGCCAAGGCGAGGCGAGGCGAGGCGACGGTGGCTTGACTCACGTAATTGTTAATCGTTAACGAGCAACAATAATTAACTTATCCAGCCGGAGCTGGTTGCGCAAAGAGGCGGCTCGGGAGTAAGGGGAGCCTTGGGACTCGTTTTAATGGCCGACAGATTGCATCGCTCGGACGAGTCTGGGACTTTTTACGGAGGCCTCGGACTGGTCGGCGCGCGACCAGACCCACTCGGATTATTACACTCGGCCGGACAGAGCACGACTCGGCTTCTGGATCCCGAAGGAACGAGAGGGGGGTCCATCCCGAGAGAAAGGTCACCAAGGAAGAGCCTTTCCATCGGGACGGACCAAGAAGAGTCATACGAGAGGGTCTCGGAGGAACGGAGGAGAGAAGACCTCGACAGAGGAGGAGAATATCCATCCCTAGGGAAAGGAGCCTGGAGACGAGAGGAAGTCTTCCTCCAGGACCTCCAATCCTCTAAGAAAAGCTTGGCGAGTATATAATGGAAAGCTCCTTCATAGACTGACCCAAGGATCCCGACTTCAGGGGACTCTAAGGAGGGAAATGAAAGGACGATTCCCGAGGAAGGACACCATAAGGAGTTTGCTTCCTGAATTTAGAAATTCAAGGAGACGCGGAACATGGGAGAGAATTATCTCGTCTTCTGGAAGAGTCTTCGAGGTCTCGGAGTCGCGCGGGATAAAAAAAAAAAGACATTTGCATTTTTAGCAAAAGACAACATTGCCGATAAAGGTTTTGATCTTACCGCAAGAATAATCGCACAAACGACTAACATATTTGTAATTACATCGAATCGTAGATGTAATCATTGGAAAGCTCTCTTTAGAAGAAAATGTTTGCTAAATTAGCAAGTGAATGCAATGGCCAAACAATATTGTTGTCCCTACTCAAATGAACGAGCGATGTACAATCTGTTGCTGGAAAGAACTACTGCAACTACGAATAGAATTTGTGTTCCCCCAGTGCAGTAATCCTATTTTTTCTTTCATAATATAACAAAACTGTTGCTGGCATATATTCAAGTGTTCACGTTTGTTGCATCAAGTAAAATTTCATCTTATGACTATGAATTCTTTTTCCGCGTGCTGTGGCAAAGATTCCTTGTTGAGTCATCGATTGACTCACCGCCTCGCATCTCGCAGGACTCCGACGAGAGAATCCCGGAGGAATGGAGGAAAGAGGAGCAAGGATCCCGAGTCATCCGGTCGCTCCAGGGATGACGGAAGTCACGGGAAGACTCGTCCGATGATTCACCGATTGACTCATCGGGCCCCTTTGGCGAGGTGAAGTCATCGAAGCTGGACGAAAACCTGGTCCAGCGGCAACCACGAAGAAGTGAGAAGAAAATCAGAAGAAAATAAAATTCGGGCGCTTCCACTTTCTCCGAGTCGCTTCTTCCTCTTCAGCGAAAAAACCTTCTAATTTGCAAATAAAAAAAAAATAAAAAAAAAACAGACAATTCAGAACAAAGTATTGAAAAATACACGATGTTCATTCCGAGCCAGTTGGAGGCGAGATAAAATCTCGCGGTTCTTGCGCAGGCATCCTCGATACCCTTTGATCGTTTCCACGGGATGTCTTCACGCGAGGCAACGGGCAGCCCGTTAAACGGCGATGAGTAGCACAACGCCAGGACGAACAATCGCGGTAAAGGCTCGAAACAAAGCTCGGGCTACCTCGGCGATAACCGTTAACGCCGGCGTCCCACTTTCTCCATTTCATCTTCACTCGGAGGCGTAATTTATGGACCGTAAACAGGAGTAAATAGGATAAGGCCAGGACGAATAATCGAGGATCTAACGCGCCGAGGAGCATCGGCAGCACCAGGATCGCCAGGGACGAAGACGGTCGGGCCGGTGGGCATCGAACGACCATGACCCGTACCCAGCAGCCACATGCCTCCATACCACCAAGCCACTTTGTATCTGCTACTCCGAGATACCATGAGATACCCTGACACGCTCCACGCTTAGCAACATTGTCCTTTTATTTGTGCAGGACGCGCTCTATCCGGGAGATCTCGCAGGAAGCGCATCCTCGACCTCGGCGTCGGCCGCTGTACGGACCAACCCGGGTGCCAGACTGTGCACCGGAGTGGTACCAACTTGGGTAACAGGTTGAATACCAATTTTTGTACCAAGTTGGGTACCAAGTTGGGTACCAACTCGAGGACCGACGAGGGGAAGGACCCCCGACGCTCGTCGAGGTCACCGCCTCTCTTGGCGGCGTTTCCTCCGACCTCTTCTGTTCCCGGTGTCCTTTGAGAGCCATTTCCCACCTGTCGCTTCGTCCTTCGGCCGTGATTAGCGTATACGCGTCGATAACAACGCGAGTCTGCTGAGGACGACGCGCTACCAGGTGGTCCAGGAGGTATCCCGAGGCTGTCCAGCGACGTTCCTTTCTTCCGAAGACGATCTCGAGGGACCTCGTAGAAAGCGCGTCCTCGACCTCCATCGAATCTTCATCCGGGGGCCGAAAGAGCCTCGGCGCTCGTCGAGGTCGCCATCTTTCTCGGAGCCTCGTCCGACCTCCTCCGGTCCCATGGCTTCAAAAAACCATTTTCCACCTGTCGCCGGTGGCCTCTTCCTTGCGGCGGCCGCTTTCAGGGGGTAATTAGCATAATCGCGCCGATAAGAACGCGCGGATGCGCGAGGTAATTGTTGCGCAACCGGCGAATCTGCGCGGCCCCACGGCCTTAACGAACGATGGAGTCATCGTTGTCGAATTAACGAAGACCTCGAGTGATCGGCAAATAAGGAATTGACAGCACCGATGACGAGTCCATCGGATAAGGAAGAGATCGAGGAGAGAGATTTCGACTTCCGGACCGGACACGACCCTCGGAAGCGTCACGAGATCCTCGATACCGAACGATCCGATATCTCCATTGTGTATCGCGCATTAATTACCTCATGCTGGTACCGATTACGAGCACAAATCAAGGTACACACTTTATGGGGCATCTACTAAGTCCACATAATCATCGCAGGTATCGTCGCTCGTGTACTTATATCCAGGATAAAAATGTTGAAAAATCATTATAACCGGGTAGTAATTGCAACGATAACGTTGGTATCAACGATAACCATCTTACCGGGAAGACAAATAATTAACATCGGTACTAGGTACTCGCGGTAATAAATAATTAACAGCAGACACTCACCCGACTCTGTAGTCTGCGCAAGATGGCGGCGGGTTCCAGACGGTACTATTGCACAGCATCCAGTCGCACCAGATCTGCGAAAGGAAAGATACCGCGATATCACCGGGAGATGCGCCATAATTTATCAGGGAAGCTCCTCTCTGACAATCTTTCCATCGTCGCGTCATCCATTCTCGGCAAGTGATATTACGTATACCGTTTTCACGCGCGGTGGCCCTGTTGCGCGTCGACCTTATCGCCGATATTAATGGTGGCTGCGTTCCTTCAAAATGGCGGCCAGTCCGCGATCGCGAGCTGCTTAGTTGCGGAAACGGTAAAGCCACCCAGCAGACGAGACCTTGTCAAAGGACGCAGAAAACGACGAACAGGAATTCCGTGGCTGCCGGAAACGGCTCGACCTCCCTTACGATTCGGATTAAGGGTTTGATTTAATCCCCCCTGATTTTTTAATCCCTTCATCCTAGAATGGTATTTCTTTACCCCATGCTTCAATGGAGTCCTACGACCTCCCTGAAACGCGTAATTAAATCCAGAGCTTAATTGAAGCATCAGGGAGGTCGTAGAAATTGACGTTACCCTATTTGTCAAAACTCCAGACCTCGACTTCGGATGGATGCATTAATCGCACCTATAATATATACTATGAGGACAATCCCGTTTAATTTTTTCATTTGTTACTCCTGGAAATATATTTCTTACGCCCATAGTCCAGGGGACTCTTGTGACCTCCTTGAAGCGGTTAATTAAATTCAGGGTTTAGCTGGAGCGTCACGGAGGTCTAGGATTTTACGCGACTCATTGGTCAGAGACCTCGACGTGGGGTGGGTGCATTAATCGCACCCATTGCATAATAAGAGGACAAGGAGCGAGGCTACTTGCGACAGAGGCCACCAGGGAGTCGCGTGGGTGCGAAGTCGTGCAGCTTCATAAATCTAGACCATCCCCGGGCTCGTCTATGAACCGGCCAACGATATTGCGGCGAGCCGGAGAACCCGAAGAAGACGCCCACGAGCTGCTCGAGGAAGGACACCTCCCAAACCGGTGCGATTTACTCCTCGCCTTTTCCAAGGGACAAGAAACGCCCCGAGGGACCCATCGTGTCCCGAGATAAAGGGAAGGGTTAAAATCGATCGCATCTCGCGAGAAACGATATCGTCCTTGCCGAGCGGGAGGAAAAAAGTGGATATTAAAAATTAACAGGTCCAATGAGAAATTAATTTGAATTTCTTCCAGGTGCAGGAAGGGAAAAGGCTTCCGACGGGCATTATCAGGATAAAGTTCTGGGGATAAAAATCGCCCGTTACCTTGATAGCCGGCAACAGGGCGTGCAGGTCGTCGCCGATTATCAATCTAGGCTGCTCCTCGTTCTCCAGCTGGCTCTTCAGCAAGGAGACGCCCCGTTCCAGGATCAGGCTGAACATCTGCAGAGATACCACGAGTGCTCGCTCCTGGACCTCCGATCGGTAGCCTTGCTCCAACTGGGAGTCTGCAAACAGAGATTTCAAGGCCTAAAGTTCAGTCCTGGAGTTCAGTCATCTCCGAGAAGCGGAGTCTCTCTCTCTCGACCCTTTCGACACCGCTGCGAAAGCCGCACACATTTAAAAAATTCATACAATTAATCAACGCAGAATATAAAGTCCTATAAAAATACGTTCATATCTGGGGAAGGGGAAAAAAAACTCGGCACGTGACCGCCACGCGCATCAGAAGTGAAACTTCTAAGTCAATGAGATTCGATATTGCTAACCATGCCTTTTTGCCATGCAATTTTAATTTATGCTATTTTTATATCACCCTCGATATCAATGATTACCTGAAAGAACATCCCATTGATACTAACGAAAACGTTTAAGGAAATCGTACTTAAAGCACAAAGGTGTATCATTAACGTAGTAATTAACTGTAAATTAAAAAAAATCGTTTCCTTTTCCTAATCGGTCATGCGGACTCGTTATCGTGGCATAAGAAATTTGAGAAGAAAAAATGAGTCCAGCCAACGGGTGGTCCGGGGGGTACTTTTTTCTCGGCATACACAATGGCGCTCGAAACGGAGGTGGGAAAGGGCCGATGCAGGAGAGCCGCAAAGGCCGGGGAAGAGATGCAATTTTCTGGGAGAGAAGAGATTGCCGAGATGCTCGGAGGAGGAAGCTGCGAGAGCGCCAGTAGCGATCACGTTTAGGCGATGATCACGCGGAACGATCGGCGGAGCCAAAGGCGATTTTAAGGGGCCCCCTCGGAGGTGTGTCATTACGCATCGCACGGCGAGGTACGTGACGCCTCTGTGCACCCGGGGGGGAGGTCATACCCGAGGGGTCACCCTCGGCCCAGGAAAGCCGGCTTTCTGGCGGCGCCAGAGAGAGATCCAGGATCGCGATCCTCCGCGATATCTCCCGGAAGCTGAGGCCAATGATATCCAGGATCGGCAGGAAATCCCTCGATCGTCTTCCGAGGGTTCCCACGTGCGAAACCACGATCGCGGATGTGGGCGATGATCCGGGGAAATGGCGCAAACCGTGCAAGTTACGGGGATGCGCTGAACCGATCGCGTGGGCTCCCGAGGGGGAAAGAAGTCCTGTGGAATTGCGGGATCGTGCCGGATCCTCGAGACCCCCTAGGATCCTTCTCCTGGTTCCACCTCCTGCTAGGATTTTACCGAGTCCGCAAACCGAGGGAATCGGATCCTGACCGTCATGCTTCGTGTCGGGCAGGATTTTTTAATAGACTATGGAAATCTTTTCCGGGACGTACGAACAGGTGCATAAGTGAAGTAATGCTCGTAAGTGTGGATCTCAATTGAACCGTCGATTAGAAATCAAATTACATAGGATTATCCGAAGAAATGGCCCCAAGACATGTTCTATGTTCTGCAGAACTTTTTCCAGTAAAAGATAATTGTTTGAACCGTGTAAGTAGGTGTAAAGGTGGAACCGAATGCATGGCGGCAGGTCGGCAAGGACCGTAAGTGAAGATCTAGGCGTGGGTTTTAATTGGACCGTCAATTAAAAATTAAATTCCATACGGTACTCCGCGAGTAAGTGTACAACACTGTGTAAGCATGACCGATTACGCGTTTATTGGCGAATTAACGGTTTCCCCGGTCGCAGGACGATCGTGAATCTCAGCCTCGTGGAGGGTTCGCCAGAAGTCGGGACCTTCAACACCGGTTAATGGGTCTCGCGGGTTGGCGCGACCCTTCCTCCGAGATATTCATCCAAGGATGCATACATACATAATAAACAGAAAATCTACGTACTCGGCAAAAAACGAATTTCGAAATTCCCTCCGCCTTCCCCGTAACCCCGCTTTACATGTATCGATACAATTAATATTCCCTAACACTCCAATGCGTGTATATAAAATATCAATAACTCATCACGATAAGAGTAAGTATCAAAGATCTTTCATATCATCATCTCCGACACCTTCAAATCTACCCGCAGAAAAAAAAAAAAAATTGTCAGCAAAATGTTTGTCCAGAAATATTTTTTTTTATATCAATAAATACGTAAGAACAATAAAGTGTACGTCACTCATTCGTTCGAGTAGTGATAATTAATTTTTTTGTTCAGCGCTCGAGATTCATTCGTTAATTTAGCAAGTATTTTCTTCATATGAAATTATCGATTACATCGATATCTTGTAATTTGACGTAATTGGAAATATTTTAGCCGCCGGTGGGATTGTTCTTGCAGCGAGAGCAAACTTTATCAGGTACGGTGTTAAAAGTGCAAACGTCTTTTTATGCCGTGTGGGCAGACGACGTCGGACCTGGATGAGGATACTTTAATAATTGCGCCTCCACTCCGTCTAATTAGACGGCGTTTCGCGAATTAACGGTTCTCCGACTCGTGCACATCTTCCGAAAGGAACGCTAGAAGTCGAGACCTCCTCGAAGTTCGGTTAATGGGTCTCGCGGACTCGCGCCACCCTTCTCGGAGAGATTCGATCGAGGGTCCGCTCCGGGGTTAAGGTCGACATGACTAATGGCCCGGCGGGTGATCGACAACCCTGAAGAGAGGTCGGGCGCGCGATTCTCACGTGGCCGGCCTCCTCGCAAATTGGCCTAAGGTTCTCAGAGCCTCTTGGCCCGAAAATGAAGCAAAGAGAAAAAAAGAAGAGAGGGAGAGAAAGAAGAAAAAAAAAAAGATTTCGCAATCTACCCGCGGCCATATACATCGGTACATCAAGATCGAGGTTCCTCGAGACCTCTTCGGCGGATTAAAATGGGAAGAGAGGTCGAGGGTAAACTTCGAGATACATCCTGAAGACTCGATCGTGGGACGCAGGACTTTTTTTTTATCGACGATAAGGGGGACTGATATCTTTCCATTCGGAGTGTCGAGGAAAATGGCGAAGGAGCCTCAAGCAACGTTTGGAGTCTGAGGCTTTTTCCACGCCTGGGGGACGAATCCTTGGTAATCTCGGATCCAGGGGGTGAAAAGGGGCCGAGGGGATGAAAATATAAAAATCAGGGAATATCCGAGTGCACGTGAACACTACTATTCCCTCGGTCCGGCGCATGCCCGGCGCAATACCTAAGGCCTGGCAGTTTAATTTATCGCGGACAAGGATAATAATTAGCGTTTAACCAGGAGGTCGGGGCACGCCTGTGTGGTCCTCGGGGTGGCTGGGAGTGTAGAGGGTAATTAGTTAAGAGAGATTTATCGGGAGGGCCCGACTAATTGCTAATGCGATCATTAGCGAGGGCGTGAGTTATACGTGTCGCGGGGGCTACGTTTTCATTTTCGTCGCTCGCTTCCTGCTCGGGACCTCTCGGGAAGTTGGTCGGGACCTCTTCGAGAAACCGCGCCGGAATCCTCCACCTGGACTGCGGTTACAGAAAAAGTGGTACTCCTTCGATACAAATTCATTCCTATAATTCCCGCTGAATTTTCCGGAGCGTTCCGCTATATTATGCATGGACCGTCTCTCGTCTGGAACAAAGGCGCTTTTTTAATACCTCCCTAACCTAAAAATCAGGTTTAATTTTCACCGTGGAACTCGGTCCGCCTCTCGTAGTATCTCGTAATTAATATCCCGCTTTTCCGCGATTCGCCCCGCGTCGACGTCGGGAAACGCGGCGCCGTCTACCTCGACGACGACCTTAACGAAGTTAAGTCCACTCGGGACGGAGAGTCCGCACACCCTGGTTTATAGGGTAGTGTCTGACGCACAAGACCCGTCTAACAAACCACCCTGCACAAACCGGGGAGCGAGATACGTGCGAGGACCGACGCAGCCTCCTCTCTCCGTATCGGTTAACGAAGTGGAGAGGAGGTCACTCCTCTTCGTTTCCCTAGCCGAGTAACGTGATTTCCGCTCTCGAAAACCGAGAGGAATCGAGTTACCCGGCCGCGGAAATAATTTCGTTAGAATCGACCCCAACGGCGGCCGCGTCCCGCCTGAACCCCGGCGTTGTTAAAAGATCCCAAATTTCCGAAAAAATTTCCATAAAAAAAGAAAACGTATCAACTCCTGACCAACCATAAAAAATTGAAATCCCGACCTCCCCGAAAAGTCGAGGACCGTCCAGCGACTTCATGTCCATGTTTTATTAATTGAGAAAAATAAATGACTAGTTATCGATTGCACGATTAATTCCATAAGTTCTCTTTTTAGATTCGGTGGAAGGGCTACTTCGATTTGTTTGTCTTATGTCAAGAGGTCAGCCGAGGAGGAGGTCTCTTCTTGGTCCTGCGGGGTGCACGTAGCCGTAGGTGTTAACACACTTTGAGCCGCCGCGAGCAATTTACTGGATTTATGATTTAACGGGCATCTTTCAAGCCTGCGACGTGCTACCGCTCCTGGAGTCGGCGGGGAAGAAGTCCCGAGAAGGGGACAGAGAGAGAAAGCGACCCTTAAACATCGCCCAGAAGACGGACACCTCTTCGAGGCAGGGCGTTAAGGTACCATCCTGGAGGACCGACGATCCTGACGAAGGTGCGCACCAAAGACCGAAATTGCACGTCCCGGACGCGACCACTTTGGGGACCCTAGCTCGACCGAGAGAGAGAAAGAGAAAGAGACAAGGCGAGATGAAAGGGAGGCCGAAAAGGGCCGTAAAAAGGAACGACGGAAGCCCAACGAAGACCGCAACACGTCTTCATCCCGCTTTTTACACCCTGCCTCTCTGGACCGGCCGATTTGGGCGGCGTCCATCTTGGGTCGTAATTGCGACCCGCGCGTCGTAAAGGGACGCAATTTCCCCCTCGCTTACGCGCGACTCGAAGTCGACGGGGACGCATCGTCTAGAGATTGCATTCCAAGGAAATAAAGAAATAAAGAATACGTGAGAAAGGGACCCCGAGATCGATTATAGCTGTCTCTCGATTCGTTCTAAATCGGGCCGGGTGAGGTTAGGTGTCCGGCCATGCCCGTCTTCGTTAGCGGCGCAAAGTCGACGCCGGCAGGTCTTGGTTCTGCGTTATTTCAATCCCTCGCGATGGAATCTCCTCTAAACGGATGTCGAGGGGGACGGATCGATAG